CCTGAGGGCTGCCCAGGAGGTGGGGCGGCTGCGGCAGGCCTGTGCTCTCTTCTGGGTCAGAAGGCAGGAAGGGGCAGCTGATGCTCAGTGAATACCCGAGAGGGAAAAATCAAGAGTATTCCCCCTGCTAGAGACTTTCTGGAACATGCAAAGAAACAAACTAGCTGTTCGTATACAGCCATAGAGTCAATGCTAAACTTCCAGGTAATTTGAAATCTTGTACCGCATGCATATACGTCCATGCTTTATATGCCAAGAAAATTTCTGAAAAGCATACACAGGAAATTAATAACAGGAGTGGGAATGTGGATCAGGAAGGAAATTTTCCCTATACTCTTCTATATTTGAACTTTTAAACTATGAGCATGAATTCCTATATAAGGTTTTTGGTTTTTTGTTTTTTTAAGAAGAAAAGTAAAGGCAATTGGGCCCAGCTCTTAGAGATTTGGACCCACCCAGTTTTTGGAGGATTCAGGGTTTTACTAGCTTCCCAGGTGAGTCTGATGGGCCCGGCCTGGAATCACAGCACAGGTCACACCTCCTCCCAGGAGCCATCCCTCATCACCACTCTCAGGCTTCTCACTCTCCCCAAATTCTTGCAGCAATTGCCAAGGAAGAAATCACACACACACACACCCGTTTGGGGCATCGATGACAGCAGGAACTCTCATGTAGTTCTTGTAGCCAGCAGCACCTAACACAATGCTACAGCCCTTCTTCCCCCTAAAAGTTGCCTTCTGCAGATCGCCATTTGTGGCCCTCGACTCAATGGCACCACCTTAGAGAATGGAGGGCTCGGTGGTAGACGATGTACATGTGTCTACCTGGGTGTGAGCAATAGGGACTAGTGGAGACTGTGGTGAACTGACTGGATCAGCACTGTCTATGGGCATTCGAAGTCACATTTGTTTTCAGTCACTGCTGGCCACTAGTGTACAAAACACATCTGTGGGCCAGATGAATCCTGTGGAGGATCAGTCCACAGCTCCAGTGTCTTAAATTCTTGCTGAGTGATCTTACCCACTCTCCCAGCTTGCATGCAAATGATGATGGCTTTAATTTAGCATCCCAGACCACAGCAAGTCCCTGGCTTCAGGCGTGTGTCCCCACTGCCTGCAGGCTGCCTTCACACACACCTGGTCCAGCTCACCACAACTTGAATGGAATTGTTCATCTATCCACTGTGAGATGCTGGTGCTTTTAGTTGCAGAAAACAGGTTCTTTCCAGTTACACTAAGGAAAAGGGATTTGTTGCACAGCTTTGTGTAGACTGAACAGAAGCCACCAATGCTGGTACAGCCCCAGGCACTGGCCCCTCTCACAGCCTCACCCCTGAGCTGGTATTTCCCTCCTGGCATATCTGCTGCTCTCTCCGTGTCTGCACCATCAGCTCCCTCTCCTCACAGCCTTTTCTAGTCTTCAGCCCAAGCCTAGGCAAGACCCAGTGTGCCTATAAGAACTAATTACTGCTGATGTCAGGCTGTCCCACAGGTCCCCCAGTGGAGGGTCAGGCTCCCCCCCCACACACACAGTAACTGCCCAGAGCTGCTTCCCTGAGTGGGGCCAGCGAAGGAAGAGTTGGAACTCCAGGTGCTGTGGTGACATAGGGGCCGCTCATGGACCTTCCCTTCCTCCTGTGTCCTCACTATGGAGATGGCAGCCCCAGTCCTCTTGAAGACCTGCTATCCTGGCCTTCACTTGCCACACAGAAGACCCCAAACCCTCCGGTGTTTTCTCTCTGAACTCCTTTGGGGATCTTTCTGTCCCCCTGATCCAGCTGCCACCACCTGCAGACACCTGTCCTTTCTTGGCTTGGTACAGCTGCTTGTCTTCCTGCCTCATGTCTACCCTCCTCTCCTCAGCTGCAAAGCCATTTGCCCAGGAACCTCCTTCATCTATACTTTTTGGGAGCTTCCTGGTATCTGAAGGATAGGCTGTCTACCAGGTGTACTGGTTAATAATGCAGATTTTGTAATCCAAGAAAACACGATAATTTCAAGAGAAACATCAAAAGTGCTTTATTCGAAGTGATGTCCATCGCTAGCTACACATTTCCCCATCTGTCAGGTAATTTGTGGATCCATCCCAATAGAACTTTTCTTGTTTTGAGGCAAACCATTCAGAGACCAAATTTTCCACTTCTTCGTACGTTTTGAAGTGCTGCTCAGAAAGTGCGTGTGCCATCGATTGGAACAAGTAGTAATCTGAAGGAGCAAGGTCTGGTGAATACAGCGGTGGGTTAATACTTCCCAGGCAAGATCTTTTAATGTGTCTTTAACTGGTTTTGAAGTGTGTGATGGTGCATTATCATGAAGCAAAATTACTCTGCCGTGTCTTCTGGCCCATTCTGGTCGTTTTACGATCAAAGCGTGGTTCAGATTGATTATTTGTTGTCAGTTGCGATCAGTATTAATGGTTTCACAAGCTCATAATACACCATACCTTCCTGATCCCACCAAATGCAGAGCATTGTCTTCTTTCTGAAGCGATTTGGCCTTGCAGTCGATGGGGATGGTTGACCTGGATCAACCCATGATTTTGTGCATTTTGGATTCTCAGAATAAATCCATTTTACATCATCAGTCACAATGGGATGCAAAAAAAGACTTTGTTTCGTGCCATTGAAGCAACATTTTACTGATGACTTTTCGGTTTTCCATTTGTCTTTCATTCAGTTGAAGTGGCACCCATTTTCCGTCCTTTAAAATCTTTCCCATTGCTTGTAAATGATCAGAAATTGTTTGCTGAGCAACGTTTAAGCTTTCTGCAAGTTGTTTTTGAGTTTGACATGCATCTTCATCCAATAATGCTTGTAATTGTTGGTCTTCAAACTTTGGCAGTTGACCTGGACATTCTTTGTCTTTCACATCGAAATCATCACTTTTAAAGCGTTTAAACCAGCATTGACAAGTATCTTGAGATGGAGCATGTTCACCATAAGTTTCCCAAAGTATACAATAACTTCCAGCAGCACTTTTCTTCAAAATAATGAATTAAAACTTCCCGCAAATGAACTTTTTTTGGCACAAAATTTGACATTTTTAAACATAAAAATATCTATGATGTTAACACCTTCAGCAAATTTGACATATGACGCTGTGAAGCTTGCTGTCAATACAACAAAATAGCATACATATCAAATCGCATATATATGAACGTACGTGTAACGCCATCTATTGAAAATATCCGCATTATTAACCAGTACACCTGGTACCTCAGTGTGGGAGCACAGCCTCCCTGGCCTCCCACTGTCCATTTCACCACCGTCTCTACTACTCACTGACAGGTTTTACGCCACAGCAGCAGCAAATTGCTCTTAGTTCTTGAATAAACTGTGCCCTTTATGCCTCCATGCCTTTATGCTTGGTTAGCCCTGCCCCCAGCAGCCCCTCTGTCTCCTATAAAACTCTGCTCATCCTGAGACAAAGCACCATCTGCTACTTCCACCCTCAAAAAACTATTCCGGTTCAATGTCCATGCTCTCTGTACTCAAAACATTTTTTGCATATCTCTGAAATCAATAAAAAAAATTAATGAAATAGGTACTTGGATCCTAAATCAGCCCTGTGGGGATAGATGCTTTAGAATCCTATCAGCCCAAGAAGGTCTTATAGCCATTAAAGATGTCACCAGCCAGTCCCCTGTGCAGCCTGGCTGGTGACACTGCGTTTTGTGGCAGGAGTGGCAATTCCTTATTTGCTGACAAGCCTCATCCCTTGCAGGCCTGGAGTCTGTTGATGCCTGTTAATTTTTCCTCATTACACCGATCTCTAGACTGTAGCTGTGTTCTGCACAGTTGGGCTATGTGGGAAGATTAGGAACTTGTGTGGGGCTGGAACTCCCACTGTGGCTGCCACGTGCTGGGCTGTTGAGGGCGAGTTCTGTGCTACCCAGCTTACGCCTGGCCTTCCAGAACCCAGCCCTGCCTCCTGCTCTGTCCACCCTGACAGCCCTAGCCGCAATCCTACCCCTCCCCACTGTCCATTCCCAACTGGGCCTGTCTCTGCCCCATGTGGACCTCAAGCACGTACGAGACCTTCCCCTGGGTCTTGACCAGCCAAGCAAAACGGGACAGGAAGTCACAGAAACATAGCATCTTAAAGCCAGATATAATATAGGGAATTTTCTGGTCTGTCCTCTCCATGTTCAGATAAGAAAATTTTGGTCCAGAGAGTATCAGTGGCCTACTGATGGTGAAAGTGGCATTGGAGATGATAGTAGAATTGGAGTGAGAACCTACGATTTTATGGAATGAATTGTATTTGGGGTTATTAATAAAAATTCCTACTTCTGTTATGTTTGTTAGATGACTGTTGGTGTCTCCAGAACTATATGTTACTTGCACCAATTCCAACATCCCAATTTAAAAATCAACTTTGAGAGGGTTCAGTGGAAAAGGGTGATAGTATTCTAATTTGTGGCAACTTATGCTTATTGCATATTAATTGGCAAAACTATAACCTTAAAAAAAACCCAGGGTTGGCATAACAGGGTGATAACATACAAGTTAAGGTGACTTGTGGCAACTTGGTACTCACGCTGATAAAATTTCTTTTTCTTCCTATGATGATTTATTAAACAAAATGAACCTAGAACAGGCCCTAAATGAGGAATAAACTTACATTTTGTGTGTTTTTTTTTCCCACTGACCCATCATCTATAAAGGGGCAATATCATAGACACTAAGATCAATAACATGAATACACAGGAGCCTGTCTGGTGGGTTTTGGGTGTATGTGACTCTGTGTTGAATGATGTATGGAATCAGGGTGGACTTCAGTTATCACCTGAGTTGGCCCTCTTTGTTCTTGAGTGCACCACGAATTCACTTGTGTGCCGCCTGTGCCTGCGGAGTGTGTGATCCTTGCTGAGACTGTGTCTGCAGCGCGCACAGTGGGGTTTTCTCAACTGGAGTGAAAACAGCCTTCCTTGCAAGCAGGTGTCTGATTGCCACACTGGAGATGCAGCGTTTCAGATCCTTCCTTTATCCTGTCTTCCAGGCTCTGTGGCTACCCTCCCTTTTATGATGAAAATGACTCCAAGCTCTTTGAACTCATACTCAAGGCAGAGTATGAGTTTGACTCCCCCTACTGGGATGACATCTCTGACTCTGGTAAGTCTTGGCTCCTGGTGGGCCGCCCTGGGACGGTACACCCTCACCTGACCTGACAGGACGCTCTGCACTTGGGCTTGACTAGCAAAGTGTAGGGCAGGGGGCCCAAATCAAGTCATGGGACAGGGACTCACTCCTCTACCAAATCCTAGCCTGGCCCTGACCTGGGTGCCCCAAGGAGTGAAACCATATTAGCTAATATCTATTGAATGCTTACTGTGTCCTGAGCCCTGAAGCTGTGCACATGTGCTCCCTCACTCAATCCTCAGGACAACCTATCAGATGGTATTGCTATTAACCCATTTGACAGATGAGGAAACTGAGGCCCAGAAGGTGAAATAACTTGTCTCAAGTCACATAGGTAGTATGTGGCAGAGCTGGGACTCAAGCCAAGACCAAATCCAGAGCCCACGTCTCAGTTGCCACACCACACTAAAACGTCCCCAGGGAAGTTCAGCGTTTTTTCCTCAGGGGTAAAGGTCAAAACCAAGGCCCATATAAATCGACGAAATTTCTCAAGCTGATACGAAGAGGACAGTAGTAATACTTCCTATCAAGAAGGATGGTATAAGCATCAAATAAAATAATAAATGAAACAGAGTTTTGTACTCACTGATGAGCTATTCAAATATTGCATTTTCTTATTTGTGTAATTTCCTTCTAACTGGAAACATCTGCTTCCTTCCTCAATCTTCCAAAACCTGAAGAACAGTTCTCCAAGGCTTGCAGGAAAGAGTCATGTGGGGAATATTTTACTTCTCACCTGGGAAGGGCATGGCCTTCCCCCAGAAGCCCAGGCTGCGGGCAGTGAGCTGCCAGACCATAGAGGCTGCAGATTTCCAGCCTGCCCCACAGCTGTCGTCTTCCGATCCTGTGATCTGGTCTTACATGTTCTCAGTTGTCTGCTGTTGGGCCACACACCTCATCCAGGGCCTTCAAGCACTGCACTTCCCACCAGGGCCCATCTCACTGCGCCAGCTAGTCCAGGACCTGTCCAGCTTAGCAAATGCTGAATTCTAAAACATGCAGAGGACATCCACAAACCAGCTCCCCATGGCAGCAGTGAGCAGAGTGAAAGTCCGGTGGTGACAAAGATATTCCATCTCTGAACCAAAAGTGCCCCTAGCTGCCAGAGGGAAGGGGCTGGAGTTGGGAGAGCAGGGCCCAGCCCTGCCCTGGCTGCCTCTTCACTGGCAGGTCACCATTCAGAGTTCCAAACCTGGGCTTCCCTTTTCCCCAGATGCTGGTACCCATGTCCAGGGTACTGTAAGGTCTGTGGAGGGCTGGTCTCGTCATTTCCATGCTACACACGACACTCTCAGAGACTGCTGGTATCATAGCTCAAGCCACAGACTGATTCCTTCCCTTGTGCTTCCTTTCTGAACAGCAAAAGACTTCATTCGGAATCTGATGGAGAAAGATCCAAACAAAAGATACACATGTGAGCAGGCAGCTCGGCACCCATGGTAAGAATAACCACCCACTAGAGAGACCGTGTGTCTACCGCCTTCCCAGGGTGACGTCCTGTTGGCTGTCAGGAACTGGGAAAGCCCAGCAATGCTTGCATGTCACTCTGCCAGGGGCCTCGATACTGTCCCATGCCAGCACACGGGATCATTTGTTCTCTCAGGCTCAGCCTCCCAAGTGCGCTAATGATGGGTTAAGTGTGGGAAAGATAGCTGTAGCTTTTTCACTTTACATGAATATTGTAGGACCATTTTTAGTGAAGGTAATTGCCCAACGAGGCATTAAGATGGGAGTTTTATTCCTTGGGTTTATTGCTCAGTAGGTAAATGAATTGTTATATCTTTTTCCCTTCTAAGATGCTTCTCAAGTTAGTCTTTCTTCACTCCCAGAGGGATCAGCCGATGGCTGATGCATTCTATGTACACTTCAGCAGTGCCCTTGAGGCCATGTTGGTTATAAAACTTAGTAGATTTGAACCACCTTCACTATCAACTAGCTGTGATTTGGGGTTTATACTTAACTTTTCTTGCCCCAGTTATCTCATTTTTAAAATGAGGGTACTGATACCTAGTTGATAGTGTTGACGTAAGAAATAACTGAGATAATGCATGTCAAGGGTTTGTCGCGATGTCTGGTATAGAGTAAATGCTTCGTTAGCTGTTATTGCTAAAGCAACAGGAGCATCCACTTGAAACAAAGGCCAGGAGTATTAAAATATGCAATATAGTGAAAACAAATGAATGGAACTTTGATTTTGGGAGAAATTCCCTCTAGGAAACACTCTAGAAGACTGTCCCTGGGTTTATTCTGTCATCCCTTGTGGCATTTCCTCCAGGGTCTCATATGCTAGTTAACCCTCAGAGAGGAGCTGCTTAGGGTAGTGCTATGAACCAGTTTCACAGCATTTTAATTTATAATAACAGCCATCATTTATTGAGCAACTATTATGTTCCAGGTACTGTACTAACTGCATTAATAGTATCTCATTTTGCTTCTTTACAATAACCTTGTAAGGTAGGCTTTATCTCCATGTCAGAGGTAAGGAAATGGATTTAGAAAGGTGAAGTAACTTAGCCAAGACAACACAACTATGTAATGCAAAGCCAGAACTGTTTCCAGCCAGAACTGGGGGACTCCAAAATGAGTGCTCTTCCCCATCTGCAGATAAGAAATGTAAAGGGGAAAAAAGGAAAGGGCTAGAGGGGTAAATAAATAATTTTCTGGCTAAGGAGGCAGTTTTTATTATATATCATCTTGATTATTTGTTTTAGTAAGTCATTCTGTACAATAGGTCAAAGTATGTGGCCATAAAGATAATCAAGTTTTCTTACCTTTTAAACAATGGGCCTTTAAATCTGTAAGGCCTTTTTTCCCCCAGTCTTATTGAGATATAATTGACATACAACACTGTGTAAGGTTAAGGTGTACAGTAGAATGACTTGACATTCATATTTACTGTGAAATGATTACCACAATAAGTTGAGTTAACATCCATCACCTTCAAAATTGTTTTTTCCTTGTAATGAGAAGCTTTAGGATATACCATACAGTAGTGTAACCATACTCATCACGTACATTACATCCCCAGGACTCATTTTTCTCATATGTATGAGACTTTTGGGATTATGTTATAAAGGATGGAAATGACCTCAAAAGAAGGAAAGGGCATGGCTCAGTGGTTAGTATATTGGCACTCGAACCAAGGAGTCGTGGGTTCAATTCCAGTCAAGGGCACGTACTTAGGTTGCAGGTTCCCCATGCTGGTTGAGGCTAGTGTGGGAGGCAATTGATGTGGCTCTCTCACATCGATGTTTCTCTCTCTCTCTCCTCTCCCCCACCCCCTTCTTTCCACTCTCTCTAAAATCAATGGTAAATATATCCTCCAGTGAGGATTTTTAAAAAGAAGAAGGGAAGTGATTTGCTTCCAAGTACTTGTTCACTAATACAGCCTCACTTCGTGGAAGGCAGAAGGAGGCCAGTTAAAGCCCCGTTTCTCCTTCACCAGCCATTTTTGAAAAACCAAAAGAGAGGTCATTTTTACTCAAGTGTAAGAAGGAGAGGTCATTGGAGGGTCTGGCACAGGGACAGGGTGGCCTCATCAGAATCAAGGACTTCACAGAGATGTGAGCCGCACACTAAGAGAACCCTTTCACTGGGTCATCCAGATGGAGGGGTTGAAGGCCCGAGAGCCGCCTGGGTCCTGCTGGTGGCATATGCTACACACCCATCCCTCTTGCCACAGAACCAGGTATTCCTGGAGCAAGAGGTTCAGAGGAGTGAGGTGGGAGATGTGACTAGAAAGGAAGGCAGAACTAGGGTTCTGGCATGAGCCCTGCTTGTCCTGGTTTTACCACTATAACTGAGTGGTGGGCAAGCTCTTTGACCCTTTGGGCCTCCCCTGTAGAATAGAGATCAGAAATAACAGTAATATATACCCCACAGGGCTTTTCCAGGGGTTAAATGAGATAATACATACAAAAGAGAAAAAGATTACCTAGGACCTAATAAGTCTCCAATCTATAAGAATTGCCATTATTTTAGGATTGTGCTAAGGAATGTGTACTTTTCCTTTTGGGCAGTGGGGGCCCTGGCTGGTTTTAAGCAGGGTGATCAGATTTACTCAGCCTGGCGGCCCAGGAGAGGGTGACTGTTGTGTGTGCTGTGCTGAATGAGTCTGGGGCTGGGGAAAAGTGCAAGAGGTGAAGACCTGAGTCATCAGCCTGGATCACATTAGGACATGTTAATTGCAAACTGAACACATAAATACCTTCTTCAGGGGTATTTTTCCCTCCAGTTTTTTATAATATTTACTATTCATTTCAAAATTCCCAAGAAGTCAAACATTGGAAAGTGGTTTTTAAAAGAAGAAGAAGAAGAAAGAATGCATTTGACTCAAGCATCATTAAAAGCCCACTTGCTTGCCTGTATGCTATGCCTGTTTCTTTTATGTGAAATTCCCGGGTGAAGAACAACATGGATTCAGCTGAGCACCGAGGAGTGGAGTGGCTGTCCTAGTGATGCCTGGCTCTGTGGGCATCACCATTCTGGAATCTGCCATCTCCACACATCAACTCTCTCCAGAGGGCAGCTCCTCTTATTCTGCACTTGCTCTTCCAGCGTAATCAAGGCCACTGAGGGCCAGGAGAGGCCTCTGGAAGTCACAGACACCTTCCCTTAGCCTCAAAGCAGACACTCCAGCCAGGAGGGGCTCCTTGTGGAGGGCAGCCGCCCACCGCACCAGGCCTTGCCTTTCTCCTGGTGGTGCATGGACAAGGGCCTGCAGGCTGCTGGCTGGCGGCCGAAGAGTAGGGAATGGCAAGCGGCATGTGGGACCCCACTCCTGGTTACAGGGAAGCAGCTTGATGGGGTTCCAATTGTTCTGAACCTCAGTCTTCAGTCTCAGTGAGTGACGAGCAAACCAGAGTGATGATCCTGGGCCCCAGTCACCGGTGCCCGTGACAATGGCAGTGTGCCCACCTTCTGACCTGCCATGTCAGCCAGGCCAGGGTGGCACCTGCAGCCCTCGGTATTCATGGAGATCCCTCCCATCTTCTGTCTCCATCCAGCCACGCTGGAATTAGGACACAGCCCGGGAGTCTGGGAGACCCCGACTGAGGCACAGAGCCATCCCCACGCCGGTCTGGAGCAAGTGGCTAGAAAAATGCAAAGTCAGGACTGTGGAGGCAGAGCAGCCTGTGTAGGAAACACAAGAACTCCAAGGCCAGGAGAGATGAGTTGGTGCTCTGTGTGGCGGAGGACAGAGCAATTTATAGAAATGCCACCTGCAGTGTTGGAATAGAGGGAAAAACTGAAAAGCAAGGGATAATAGGAGACGTGTGTGTGTGTGTGTGTGTGTGTGTGTGTGTGTGTGTGTGTGTTTATAAGGAAATTTCCTATAGTGGAGGCATCACGTATCACGTATTCCTAGGACAAGGAGATGACAACTAAGGCTCCTTCCAGTTCTCCGATTCCTGGCCTCCTTTTGTTGATGCTGAGGCTGGCCTAGCAGCATCGGGAGCTCATACCTTGTCGCTGTGACCAGCCAGCTCCTGTGAGCAGCAGCCTCCAGAGGGGGAGCCTGTGCTGGCGGCCGGGCGACTGCTCCCCAGGGCCACTGCCCAGCAGGAGCCTGAGGACTCTGCATCGGCCCTGCTTGGTTCTTCCCCAGCGTGGCTTCCCCTAGGGCTGTGGGAAGGGAGCATGGAACATTCCTGAGATCATTGGAAGTGTGCATGTTCCTTCCATCTGGGCCCACGCTCACCCACAGAGAAGGGAGTGTCTGCTGCTCGCTGGCCTGTTTGGTTTGGAGGGCGGCTCTGCACTGTGGCTGTGCTCAGCCCCGCGAGTTCCATACTTCCTACCACTCTGTGCGGCTGTTTCCAAGAAAGAGCTGGCCACGGGGTTGGAGTGGCCTCCTTTCCTGAGGATGTAACTTTATAAACAGAGCAGGAGGAATTACTCACGAGCTCTCCAGGAGAAAACGCCTGCTAACCGTATCCACAGTCCCAGCCCCTGGCTGTCGGGTTTGGGATGCTTGCCCACTCAGACATCCTATCTTTATTCACAATGTGTCTCGGGAAGGGTGATTGGCAGTTGTTGGAAGTGGAAATCTGGCCATGAGGTTAGGTCTGAGTGTCCTCTGGGCTAAGTGCCTTCAGCCCTGCTGGGAGCAGGGTCTGTAGGGGGAGCTGCTTTGGGCAGGAACATCAGACTGGATTCGAGACATAGGCCCAGCCAGGCACAGACTTCATGTTCAGTCCCTCAGCCATGTTTTCAGTTCTAAAGTGAAAGGCTGGGTAGGAACAGATTTTGTATCCGGGAATTATTTCTTGTCTGAATAAGCCCTGAGCGTCTTCCTTTCATTTCCCAAAACATGTGGACTTAATAGCCTGGCATCCGGGCTGTTTAGTGTCCAGGACCCTTTGTGTCTGGGAGCGACATGTTTCCTCACATACCTTCCAGCCAGAAAGGATGCTCAGTGTCCCCGTCACCTGTCTGCCCTTTAAGTTCTCCAAGATGCAAGACATTATTTTTTAGGCATCAAAGATGAACCTAGAATGTCTTGGTTTGCTGATAAGGAAAGATGAAAGGTTCCAAGCCCACAGGACTAAGCACAAAATACAGCTTCCTCTGACCCTGGGGGAGGCCAGCGGTGAATGTGGAGGGAGGGTGGTGTGAGGGAGGGAAGGGATGTGTGGGAGAGGAATGGGCTAGGATGATGACTAAGACCAGAGAGGCTGTCAGGGAAGAGAGAAGAGGAGAGAGGGAGGTGTAAGATGGGGTGAGGGGCAGAGGGAGGAAGTCATAGGCTGAGGGGAACTCTAAGGACAGGAGGTAAAGAGCAAACCTACCTTCTTCTTTGCTAATAGAAGACTAAGGGACAAGCAAGAACTAGTGCCCAGTAACACCAAGGACCCAGCTGACTATAAAGTGGATGTGTCCTGGCATTTATGAGGGCTTATCTGGGAAATTCAGGAGTAGGGGTGCCAAGCAGAGCTGAGCTAGGGTTAGGCCCTCACCCTGAGCACAGAGAGGGGGCTGGGTGCCCAGGGTGGTTGTAGGTGAGCAGATGCTTGGAGCTCAGGTCAGTGAGGATGGAACCAGAAGGGAGCTGTTGGCCGCAGATGTGAGCTGGTCCACGGGAAGGAAGGCCCAGAGCAGGCAGAGGGGCCTCTGGCAGAAGGAGGCTGGGAAGAAGGCCCTGGGAGGGTTCTGGTGGTCAGACCAGGCAGGGAACACATTTGAGATGGTGGAGGTAAAGCTGCAGGTAGAAAACTGGCATAGAGTTTGGGGGAGGGAGAAGGAAGGGGAGAAGGATGGAAACTGAGATCAGGGTGTGTTGTCATAGTGGATGCCACAGGAATGGGCGTCAAAAAAGGAAAAAGTGAGAGTCAGGCAGAGGTCAACCATGACGGTGCGGACCCACCCTGGAGAGGTTGCAGTGTGTGGACGTTGACAGGACTTGGAGTAGAAATCGACAGACGTTGGAGTGCCTGTGATCTGTGCACAGACAAGAGCAGCCTGGAGGGCGGGGCCAAGCCAGCACCCTCCGGAAAAGGTCAGGATGAGACTTCCAGGAAAGCAGGGTCCGTCCGTGCCAGAGCTCCCCAAGAGCCTCTTCAGAAGAAGCATCTTTGCCTGTGTTTCAGGATTGCAGGTGACACGGCCCTCAACAAGAACATCCACGAGTCCGTCAGTGCCCAGATCCGGAAGAACTTTGCCAAGAGCAAATGGAGAGTAAGTCCTGTATTGATCAGACTCCCAGTGAGTCTAACCACTCACTTGCCTTGCAGTTTGAGCACTTTTTCTTTCTAAGGGTCACTGTCACTGCGTTTGAGAAAAGCCCCCAAACCCTCACCCAAATAATTTTGCTAATTTTAACCAATAATTATGAAGACTTGAAGGTACTATCATGGTGTGAGAGGAGTGAAGTCTGAGATTTAACGTTTCCCCTCTGTGAGTCAAAAATGGCAGTAGCGCCAGCTCCGACTCACTTGCTGTGCCTTAACGTGGTTTTTGTTTTCTTCACCTGCTGGGACTTAAAGTGACATTACGGGGAGACGACCAGGAAATCTGAGTTGAACCCATCCATCCTTTCTGATAAAAATGTGATGAATATAAATTATTGGGGCTTTGTGACCATCAACCGGTTACCTTGGTAAACCGGTGTTCTAATCAACTCGGGTCCTTAAGTGCCAGCAGTGAGGGGCCATACAGAAACAAAATCAGTTCCACCGACCTCCTTTATTCTGAGGCTACTATTCTTTACTACAGAATCACCAGTAATAGGAAAATTAAAATTATTTTAAAATGTCATGTTTTCTAAAAGTCACTTCTCTTAGATCAGTGATGGCGAACCTATGACACGTGTGTCAGAGGTGACATGTGAACTCATTTTTTGGTTGATTTTTTTGTTGTTAAATGACATTTAAATACTTAAAATAAACACCAAAAATATGTCTTTGTTTTACTATGGTTGCAAATATCAAAAAATTTCTGTATATGACACAGCACCAGAGTTAAGTTAGGGTTTTTCAAAATGCTGACATGCCGAGCTCAAAAGGTTCACCATCACTGTCTTAGATTATAGAGAGAACTAGTTTATGTTTATTCTGTATGTCTATTATGTGAGAAGAGATAAGTTCTTTTCTCCAAAATATATTTTGATTGGGGGAGGGGTCAAATCCATTAGTATACTTTTGGAAGAAGGGACAATGTAAATTTTCTTTCTAGAGTATCTTGAGAACATTTTTAGAAGTTTGAAATGCTTCGAGTGACAGGAAAAATAATAGGAGGCAGTCTGCATCTTTTTCATTAACGAATTACTTTACCTGCTTTTGTCCTTTCTTGAATTTCAGCAAGCGTTTAATGCCACCGCCGTTGTGAGGCATATGAGAAGACTCCATCTTGGCAGCAGCCTGGACAGTTCAAATACAGGCAGCCTCAGTTTGGCCGGCCAAAATGATTGTGAGTATGGAGCAAAAACACCTTTTCAACTGGAGATCTGGGATAGAGAGGAGGGTGCTGTCATTTGCTGAGTACCTGCTATATGTTAGGCACTTTCAATAATTTTCCCCATTTAATACTCCCAACAATCCTAGGACATGATTTAATATTTTCTATTTTATCACATTTATTGGGGTGACATTGGTTAATAGCATTATACAAGTTTCAAGTGAACATCTTTATGTTATGACATCTGCATTTGCTATTGTGTGCTCACTACCTGAAGCCTAGTCTCCTTCTCTCACCTTGTATTTGACCTCCTTTATCCTCCTCATCCTCATCTCCCTTTCCTTCTGGTAGCCATCAGACTGTATCTGTGTCTCTGAGTTTGTGTGGGGGTGTGTGTGGGGGGGTGTTTGTTTGTTGCTTTCTGCTTTATATCCCACACATGAGTGAAATCACAAGGTTCTTGTCCTTTTCTGCCTGACTTACGTTATTTAGCAGTATGTCATATGGCCGTAATTCATATTTTCTGTGGCCTAGCAGTATTCCATTGTGTATATGTACCACATTTTCTTTATATAATCATCTATTGAAGGACACTTAGGTTGTTTCTATGCCTTTGCCACTGTGTATAATGCTGCAGTGAACATAGTGATACATATGTCCTTACAAGTAAGTGTTTTCAATTTTTTCATGTAGATACCCAGAAGAGGGATTGCTGGGTCATGTAGTACTCTATTTTTATTTACTTGAGGAACTTCTGTACTGTTTTTATAGTGGCTGCACCAATTTACATTATGAAAATGCACTATTTAATATACACACAACCCTAGGCACTGATATTTTTATTTATAGATGATGAATCTGTTTTAAGTTCATGTCTGTCTGGACAAAAGCCCAGACACTTTCTGCTCTATCTCCTTGCCCTCTGATTTGCTGTCTTTGAGTCACTGTTAAGGGTCGAGGAAGGGATGGCAGAGACTCCTGGCAGCCTGCTCTCTCTGACTTTTCATCTATTTTTTGATGAGGATGATGATAATTGGAGCTGATTTATATAAAATGCATTGGCCTTACAATCAAAGGAATAGTAATCATATTTCCTTGTCCTTCATCTTGGCATGGGATGTTATGTCACTGAGGATGCACTTACACTCCCCTATTTCTCTCTCCCATCCCCCCCTCTATATATTTATCTTAATCTCACATCTGGCCATTCCAGTGGCTCCTCTCTACTTGGAGCAGTTGCCTTGATCTTCCCCAACCGCCCTTGCTTCCTAGCTATGGAGCACCCTTCAGTCAGCTTGGTTTCGTTCTGGGCATCACAGTTCTTCTCATTTCCCTTAGAAAAAGATTTGCTTCATCACTAAATAATCCTTCCATCTCATTCAGGAATTCCAGCCCTTCAGTTTTTCCAAGAAATCTCCATGAAGATAAGCCAAAGAATTTATATACTTATGTGCATAGCCCATGGACACGGTCAATAGGGTAGTGAAGACCTCGGGGGAGGGGGATGGTAGGAGCTGGGAAGAGGGGGGGAAGGAGGGATGGGACAAATCTGTAATACTATCAACAATAAAAAATATATTTAAAAATGAAAAATCTCCATGAGTCCCCCAACCCAATTGCACACTCCCGTAGACCCACGTTTCCAAGTCAGCATAGTTCCTCTCCACCCTCTGGTCAAAGGAAACCCATAATCGGTCATTTCTTTGAATATTTATGCAATGGCTCTGACAGTGATGCCATCAGAATCATCTATTTTATGGATCTTCTAAGCCTGCAAAGTCTGGGGGGGGCGGGGGGGGCGGGCACTACTGGAGCTTGGCTCAGTGGGTTCATCCACATCCAGACCTCCCTGTGCAGCACTTCTGCTTGGGACGCATGTGCCTGTGGTCTGTGAGGCCGAGTTCGGGCCGGGCTGCTGAGCTCACACCGGATAGCCAACAGCCCCTCGGTGTGCGCTCTGTCGGGGTGCTTCTTAGCCAGGAGTGCAGACCACACACAAGCAGGGGTCATAGGGGCATCACGTTCTCTCTTCGTTCTTAAAATAACAACTTCATGAAGTGTTGTTCTCATAATGACAGTGTTTATTCAGCACCCAGTCTGATACCTAGCACATAGTAAGTGCTCATTATGGAACCTATCGGATTGTGGTGGCTACCCCCTGTGGTATTCAAATACAAAGCAGTTATAAGTATAATGAAAAAAAGAGGGAAGAGTTGGGTCTAGAAAGAAAGCATTCTGAACACATTGCAATGCTTTCCCATGGACAGGTAAACGTTTAGGGTCCAATGTGGAGAAGTTTGGCCCCTGCACAAACCCTTGCCATAAGAAGGGGGAGTATTTCCTTCTGAAGTTTGAATCCTTGTGTCCACTGTCCCCTGCAGGTCTGGCACCCTCCACGCTCTGTAGTTTCATTTCCTCTTCATCAGGGGTCCCTGGAGTGGGAGCCGAGAGGAGACCGAGGCCCACCACTGTGACGACTGTGCACTCTGGAAGCAAGTGACTGGCTCTGGATGTGGGGCCCAGGGGCGAGGCCTCGGGCAGAGCCAGGGAAGGGGGTCCCCAGGGCCATCAGTGCCACCAGCCACCCCAGAGTGACCCCACCTTGCATGGTGCGCCTACCTGCACAGGACTGGAAGACAGAAGTTTTTTATGGCCATATTTTATACTGCAATTCTGAAGTGTTCATTTCTCACAAACTGTACTGACTCAAGGGAGCTGATTTAACAGGACCTGGTGCTGTATATATGAATCTTGCAAAGCTCTAATGGATGGACTCTCTTTGTCCTCTCCCCAACTTTCATCATTTCTGCTCTTCTCACTATAGGTAACCATCTATGTTGTATTTTTCATTAATGACATAAAAGGTTCAACTGGATTATTTAAGTATTGGTAAATATTGTGCATTAGGGTTTTTCTTTCCTTTTAAGATATATGTCCTTGCAATCTATACTTAGTTACATGACCTATATCGTTTGCTTGTTGGTAGCGAAGTTTTATGTTAACCGTTAGGAGATTTTTTTCCCCTCCAAGGCGAATTTCAAGGGATTTTTAAAATTTGTAAGAAGAGGATCAAGAATCTGTCTCCAAAGTGAAGAGTGCACTTTACTTCTCCTCCTTCTCTCTGTCCTTCCCTGGACAGCTGAGCAGCGCCATGGGGCTGGCTTCTCAGGCCACTTGGGGCGGGCCCTGCAGAGCCCTTTCCTGGCAGCTCCTCCAGCAAACCCCCGCCAAGCAGAGACACTAGCGGCCTCGTGCCCCCAGCGCTCAGACAGTAAGAAGGCTGCTCCCCTGAGACTGAAACTTTAGAGGCGAGCCTTGCTGTGAAGGAGATGCCCACCCAGCAGATGGTTAAGGACCTTTCTCACAAAAGGAACAAGATGCCATTTTGTTTAAAGTGAACTTTCCACGCTGCTCTCATTTCTCATGGGGGTAATGCCTGGAAGCTCTGCTCTCAGCTATGCAGTTTTCAAGCTAATCGCTCTTTCTCTCTTTTTAAAAAAAATGCATTTCTAATCTTACACTTACAATGACCTCCAACTCACATAAGTTGTTTCACACATTTTTATCCTGTTCTTTATGAATATTACCTGGAGGAGGGGAGGGCAGTGGCTTTGGAAAAGAATTGATCTGGGGCGGTAAAGAGAGGTGAACTGCCAAGCAAGCAGGACACAGCTGTAGTGATGGCCAGAGACGGTCCAGCCAGGCCCAGCTGGCACTGAAGCTGTCCCTCTGACCAGGGCTGTCTGAAAACCAAAGACCTGTGATGGGGGCGAGGGACTGAAGGATTTCCCAGGGTGTAGGACTTGCAGAGCTATAACTGGCAACGACCCTGGCAAACTGGGCCATGTCATTCACCCACGTGGTGGATGGGTGTGCAAAAGAAAGCACGCACAGGGTGAAATCCAGGGCAAACTGCTTTTCAAGGAGACTTCAAGGATGCTGTCTTGTAGAGGCAAGCAGGTGGCTCCAAATGCCAGCTTTGCAAAAGCCCTCCCTCGATGGTCAGGCAATGCCATGAGTCTGCATTCTGCACAGACAGCTTAAGTTCATCGTGTGTCCCTGTGGGTCTGCTGATGGTCCAGCGACTTTCCTAGCTGTTGTCCTCAAGCTCTGCTCCTGCTGTTGGCCAGACTTGGCAGGTCCTGTTGGTCAAACCATCTTTATCACTTCCACAACTTTGCCTATGTCCAGGCCAAATGTTTAGCAATAGCCTCCCCAAAACACACACATACACACACACACAGACACACACACGCACGCACACATGCACACACACAGTATTCGGTTTAGAGCTCCATTCTGCCTCCTTTAGGATGGCAGAGCAGGCATGCATAAGAGCAGCTGGAAAGACAGGCAGCTGGTTTACCCTGTTTTCATATACCTCATAGGCACTCTACTCCTGGGCAGGAATCCCCTTTGGCATCTGTCACACATGCAGCCAGAGTAAAATCAGACTATCACTCTTCAAAATCTGTAAAAAGCCTGGAAAACAACAAAATGACAAACAAAGCCAGTTAAGAAATAAGTGTCAACTGAGTGAGATATGCAGCCACCCAGGTTGATGCATTTGCCCAAGTCGTTACCAGTTAACACTGTGAGTCCTCACCTTCAGAAGGGCGATAGCATGAGTCTATATTATAAAGAGAATCTGAGGAAACAGAGGCATCTCTCCAGGAGGCTTGGTAGGATGCTGCTTATTAATAAACGTAATGGAACATTTAAGTTTCTAAAGTATAAGAAAACAATCAGCATCATAGGGAGTGAAAATTTGCCTAAAGTTTTGAATCCTTGTGTCCACTGTCCCCTGCAGGTCTGGCACCCTCCACGCCATGCCGGCTTGTAGCGTAGTGTCCTAGGAACTGAGCAGTCAGGCTTGGAGTAAAAGAAGACAATTTTGGCTAAACAGGCCCGGCGCTGGCACTTAGGAAGCAAATTCCGTTATTGGTGGTTACATTGTTTTCTGGAGCTAATGTGAGGGGTGCATGTGTATTCAATTACCTTGAAAGTATGTCTTACCTGAGAAGTGTGGAGCAGCTGAAAGATGGGCCCTGCTGCAGCTGTCCTCCTGCGGTTCGGGTCAGCTCTCGGCCATGCTAGCCTGTAACAGTCAGGTCTCAGTCAATACAGTGCAGGGGATGGGGACTGGTTTCAGCCCAAAGTTTGACCTTGACATCAGGCAAATCCATACTGTCTCAATGCCACCAGACTTAGGTAATTTCTTGTTGTTTTATGAAGAGGAGACAGTAACTACCATGTGGAAGAACTATTGGTCTTTTGAGAGCCTGAGTGGTTAAAGGCTAGAGGTTCTTCAGCTGTATTTGGGATTATTTATGCTTCGTCACAACCCAGGAAGAGAACCCAGAATGTGCCTTTTGTTAAGACCTGCCGAGGAGGTGGCAGAGTCAGATTTCACCAAGAGTAGCTGAGCATTTCATGTGTGCACTGGCTGGTACTCACCCTGGAGCCAGTGTGTGTGGTGAGGCTAAGGTGGACCTCCGGCCCCATCACAGGCTGCCTTCGATTTGGTCTCCTCACCTTCTTAGAGCAAGTGGATTTCTTCTCACCTGAACATTACATTTGAAAGA